ATCACTGTCTTGATTGACGTAAGGATGACTTTTGTGTTCAGGAGTTGATGCTGAGGGCTTTCACCTCACTTGAGCGTCTTTTGTTTTCAGCAGGTGACGTCGAAGCAGGTTGTGCATGATGGATATAGGCTTTGTGAATAATCACACATGGAGGTGGGGAGGGGGGTCAACTGTGAGGAGAGTCCCTGGGGGGGGGGGGGATGCTTTGAACGTGGATGTGACACCTAAGGCCGACGCAGATGTATTTCAGTCGGGATCGCCATCGAGTCATTATGAACTGTGTTGCTTAACCCTTTCAGGGACAGCGGTTACTACAGTGGACAGCTTCTCATGTCATCAGGTTACAGGGTGCATGAAATGGTTCGCCGCATCAGAATGGATGCGCAGTTAGATGCTGTCAAGATCACAAAGTTGTAAGAACATTTTAAAAAACTAGTGAATGCAATTTCTGGAGAAATGGAGTGTGAAGGCTGAATAAAAACTTGTGGAATGAATCAAACGATACAGGATGACGTAGAATGATATTTTAAAAAAATGGCCAGAAGTTAGCAAAGTTGGAATGGTTTGAATCAGTCAAAAAATGTGGAAACTGGAGGTAGCTATTTAATTTCGAAAAAATATTAGCTGTTGAAAAGTTTGTGAAATCAGTGAATGGTAATAATAAATTAAGATCACTTTAATGAACTGAACATATTGGAAGTGGAATGTTTGAATCAATCAAGAAAAGTTAAGCGAGGAGGGAAAACTGTTGAATGTGTCCTCATGCAGGAATTATTTGGGTGAAAAATTGCGAGGTTTTGGTCTGCAACAAATGTGTGGCATGTTAATAATGGTTCTGTAGATGGATTAAATGAGCTGACCATTTTGAATTTCAAATGGGAACAATTCAAAGAGAGTGTCATTGAAAATGATTTTTTTTGAGGGACAGAGTGTAGGGAAAATCTTTTTTTTTTTGGACTGAAAAAATTGATGTGATTCACATTGAAAATTATAATTAAATTATAACTTACATACATTGAAGGTGGAACTGTTTGAATTGGATGAAAAACAGCAAAGTAAATACACGTCAAAGTTTTGATGAGGTCAAAGTGAAGTCGAAGGCCACTGGTTGAATTGAATCGAGGTCCGCTGCATACAGTACAACTGTTCTAACCTCTGTGCCGTGCACTTGTTAAAGCAGAAAAAATGTGTTCCACCACATTGAATGCCAAGTGTGAAATGGATCACTATAGATCGTTTTCTATGAAATTATACTGAATGAATGTTGAATCGGTCAGCACAGTGGATAAGTGGTTACAGTGCAGAGGTGCAGGGTTCGATTCCGGCTCCGGCCTTCCTGTGTGGAGTTTGCATGTTCTCCCCGTGCCTGAGTGGGTTTTCTCCGGGTACTCCGGTTTCCTCCCACATTCCAAAAACATGCATGGCAGGTTGATAGAACACTCTAAATTGTTCCTTGGTGTGAGTGTGAGCATGGATGGTTGTACTGAGTGTAGTGCAGAGCTGTGTGCCCTGCGATTGGCTGGCAACCAGTTCAGGGTGCACCCCCGCCAACTGCCCGAGGAATGGCTGGGATAGACTGCGTGTGTCTTAATTGTCACGTAAAAAAAGGCAGTGAAATCACATCAGATTATTATGTTCTGTTATTTTAAAAAATGCATAGTTAAGAGAATCAAGACTTTTTGTGGAGCGGAAAAGTCATGAATTTTTTTTTGGGGGGGGGGGGGTAATAAAAAGAAAAAAAACATTTTCTTTAGGAGCCATTTTGCAACACCAGAAAAAGTTATTGGAATAACGTGATATTCAAGGAAAAGTTTTTACATTGCCAAAATAGGGTCATCTTCTTCGAGGATAGTTTATTCCAAGAAAAAAGTCAAACTATGAAAAAGTTGTCATGTGAGATAAAGTCATGTTACAAATGAAAGTTTGTACTTACAAAAATAAAACTGTATTCTTTTCGTTGCTGGGTGGGGGGGGGTAAAATTATAACAGACTCCATCATATAACACGAATACAGTTCTTTTTAAAATAAATAACAAGAGACGTTCTCCACCCGATTATCATCATCCAATCAATCAAAGGAATGATCTTCGATTCGGCCTTCTTCCCAAGCACGCACGCAAACACGGACACGCAAGCACAGCAACTGAATTATTGCAGCGTTTCAGCCGCGCTCCTGCTACGACGCGCTCAATCATCACGGCATCCGCGTGGGGCGTTTATTTGTTCCTCCGCGCCAGCTCAATAATTCGGCCTTCTTCCCAAGCACGCACGCAAACACGCACACGCAAGCACAGCAACTGAATTATTTGCAGCGTTTCAGCCGCGCTCCTGCTACGATGCGCTCAATCATCACGGCATCCGCGTGGGGCGTTCATTTGTTCCTCCGCGCCAGCTCAATACAATCACATGATTTTGGCCTACGACGGCAGAGGCTGCACAATCAACAGCGGAGCGTTAGTAGGGGGGGGGGGTGTTCACTGGTCCAATCATGTTGAAGGGAGGCGGTGTGGGGGAGGGGGGCTATGGCTGTCAGAGCGAGTTTGCAGTGGAGAACGGCAGGCTGGTACAGTGAGGAGGGGAAGTGACGTCTTCGTGTCACATCGGATCACACGGAGCACGAGCACGGCATTGGGGAGGGGAAAGAGAGGTGGTGTCCAGTCCCGACTAGCCCAAAGGCCTTCTCGTTAGTTTTGCTGTAGTTCTCAGTGAGACTAGCTCTGACCGAAAGTCCTACTGCCTCCCTTCCCCCACTCTAAAATCAAAAATAACCCAATTATGGGTCAAAAAGTGACCGATGCCAATTGGATCAATCTGACCCAACTTTTTGGGTTGTTTGTTTAATCCACAAAGTTAAGTCAAATCAATAACCACACACCTGTTTAGCACAAAACAACCACGTTTTTGCATGATGTGAGAATAACAAATTCAACAAGACCCTTGGCACAGAGGAGGAGTGCTCTAAAAACATTTGGCTGAAAAATATGGTCAACAAGAAGCCGACCCAAGTTTTTGAGTTACACTATATTTTGAACCCAAAATGTTGGGTTAAATCAATAACCCACAAAACCTCAACATCTGGGGTTAAATTAACAACCCCAGAAGTTGGGTTGGTCCCTTTTTGACCCAATTTGAGCTATATTCAAGCCAACTGTTAGAGGCGGCCCGGTGGTCCAGTGGTTAGCGTGTTGACCTCACAGTGCAAAGGTACTGGGTTTGATTTCAGTTGTGGCCTCCCTGTGTGGAGTTTGCATGTTCTCCCCATGCCTGCGTGGATTTTCTCCAGGTACTCTGGTTTCATCCCACATTCCAAAAACATGTATGACAGGCTGATTGAACACTCAAAATTGTTCCTAGGTGGGATAGGCTCCAGCACGCTCGCGACCCTTGTGAGGATTAAGCGGATCAGAAAATGGATGGATGGATGTTTTTTAGAATGAATGAGATCCCAGTGTCAGCCTCAGGTTGACCCTAAGTCAAGATCAGTCTCACTACACAGTTCCAACCCAAAAACTGGGTTGATTTGTGCAAAACAACTCTCAAAATTGGGCTGCGCAACGCTACTCTTTTGAGTTAATTTTTGGGGATAAATGAGTAACCCAAAAAAGTTGGGTCAAATTGACCCAAGTGGTGGTTGGTCCTGTTTTTTCTCGAGTGAAGAGATGAGCGCTCCTCATGGTCACGGGAACATCCTGGAAGTCATACGTTGGACCATCTGCTCCTCGTTGCATACATTTAGGCCCATAAACAGGAAGTCTTGTTAAATCCTTGTGTTTACTATGTCTGCTTCTTCTGAGACAAATGCTCCTACAACACAGGAAAGTCAAGTTAGACACACATCACAATATCCTTGAATACACAGAATAGCAGCAATCGTGAAAAAATCAAAATAAAAAAAAATAATCCAAGAGTACTTGATAAACACCCCAAAAGCTTTGTAATTGCACATGGAAGCCACATGATGACGGCAACGCCCTTTTTCCTATTAGATACAGCTATGGCCTGACAAGCTGAAGCTCCCGCTGATACATGAATATGGTTCCTTGGCCACATTGTGGCACCAAGGGAGTATTTTTACACAGGGATTTAGCTTGAGCTCAAAAAGAGAACGTTCCAATTATGTATTATGAAACAAAAAAGTTGCAATGTGAGGAGAATTTGGTTTATCTTTCAAGAGCATTCATTGGTATAAATTAAAATTATATGTGGGAAAGCTAGAGTTGTTTGTCTTTTTTAAATTATTACATTTTTCTTGAAAGACTAAATATGACCAGAAATGTCCTCAGAACAGTGAGAATAGTCATAATTTCAAGAAAAAGAAAATAAAATAAATATGACTGCAGAACTACAAAGAAGCTGCAGAAGCTCCAAAACAGGGTCACGGTTCACATCCATTGTGGACCGCCCTAATAAAATAAATACAGAAATGGCAAGTCGTTGTTGGAGAGATGCATTCCTTCGCTCGAACATCCTTTTCCGCATGCCTACATGCACACGTGAGGTTTGGCTATTCAACATTTTCTTCAACAAGCAGAGTGAAAAATGAACGAATGAAAGAAAATTTTGACTTATATTTTCATCCAACCATCTTATCTACCATTTATCTGGTAACTATCAAACAAACAAAATCCACACCACCATGGAACTCCACACAGGAAGGCCGTAATAGTCACAACCTGCGAACTGTGACGCTGATGTGCAAACCACTTGGTGAGCATGTTGCCTCATATTTGTCAAGAATATAAGAGTCCTAATTTCACAAGAATAAAGCTGTAAGGAAAAAAAAACCTGCAACATTTGGAGAAGTGTTCCCCCCCCCACCCAAAAGAAAAAATTGGAATAACTGCAATAGTCATTTTATTGCAATATAAAGGGAATTATATTATAACTGGGATTTTTAAAAAAGTCATATTAAAAGAAAAAAAAGTCAGTTCTGGAAAAAGAATCTATCACAAGAGAAAAAGTTGTAATAGCAATAATACGACTGCTACCCCACACCCAGGTGATAAGAAGACAAAATGGTGTTTTATTAAAAAAAAAAAAAAAAAAAAAAGAATAATAATGTATGAAAATTAAGGTTCGGATTTAAGGACTTACACAAGTCCAGCGATTACTGTATAAGTAAAGAATGTTAGGACAAACAATTCACAGTATTACGAGAATAGCTGTATCTTTATGAAGAAAAAAGTCAGCATTCCAAGAATAAAGTTGTAATATTGGAAGGAAAATAGTCAGTGTTACAAGAATTGGTTTTTTTTTTTTTTTTTTTAATTACTAAGTCTATCCTGTGAGTGAATTCTTGCTCATGTACGTGTTTTTCTGAAACGAGAACTTTATTCTGGAAAAGAATTTCTCGGACTTGTTTTCTTGTTTGGCACCGCCACTACTTTTGTGTCGTGAAATTACAACTTCATTCTGAAATTCTATTTTGAATTGACCCACACACAGAAATCAATGTCATGTGTTTTGTGACAAGCTAAACTGAATTGTCTGTATCCCTTGGTGAAAACGTTAAGTGGGAAAAGAAATGGGAGGGGGCGGGGGGAACAAAAACATCTGCAGTATGAGCAACAGTGTTCACGGGCTGATGATTTTCATCACATCTGCTTACCTTTCATTCACTACGCGGCTTGTGTCTATCAAGAAAATAAATAGACTCCTTCATGTCCAAACATCGCCATTGGCTCGCGGCAGCCCGTTCACTGGTTCCTTCACGTTTGAATAAAAAATATGATCCAGTGTCACGGAGCACAACAAAGTCATAGCGAGATCCTTCAGAAAGATCCAGTCAAGGCTCTTCAATGACATTCAAAACAGCCTCCAAATGTTAAAAAGTTACTTTTGTTCAAATTTTTGATTGTTCCAGTGTTTTTTTTTTTTTTTTTCACACAATAGTATGCTCCTTCTGCTCCAAAGAGGGGAGGGGGAGGGGGTTGAAAGTCATTAGTTGACTTAATTTATAGATGTTTATAAATAAAATTTTCATAAATTAAAATCCAGTAGATAAAATACAACTTATATATTCTTTTTTTTTTTTGTCCCGAAGTGATCACGTTGTGCTTTCTGCAAACAAAAAGTTGGAGGAGGGGGAAAAAAAAAAGCAGCAGCAGATTTTTGCCAGAGATGAATCCAGATGTTTTTTTTCTTTTTTTTTTTTTGTAGATGGAAAATGAGAGTGTCTATCTGTGTCGGCTGGATAATCCATTGCTGTTGGCGGCGGGCTCTTCCAGGTCGTCATCCTCAAAGCCGTGAAAGGTGGAGGCATCGCTCTCTGATGTCGTGGCAAACAGCTCCTCGGCGCCGCCCGCCTTGCCACCGCCACCGCCGCCATCCTCCTTCTCCTCGCCGCCGTCAGCTGGCACGCGGGACAAAAGAGGAGCAAAATTGAGTCCGATGGAAAGACAAAAGGGAAGCGGTCGTGCCCTTCCTCTGCCAAGAATTACTCCAAACTAGGACTAGAGCTTCCCAGGAGACTCTTGAAACAATTGAAAGTTGGATACGCAATATGGAAATCAATTTGGTCTGTAACGATCTTTTCTTTTTCGAATCAATTACGCCATCAGCTATTCCATCAAATACTCAAGAAATCGGAAGGACTGGTTCAGATACCGTAGAGCAGGGGTCCGCAACCGCAGTGCCGGGCGGCACAGAAAGAATAACTTACATTCCTTCCATTTTATTCATTTCGGAATCTGAAGGATATTTTATTTTGAAAAATTACCGGATTCTCTGTTATATCAGTCTACAGTATGTCATTCTTGACGCAGGTGAATGCGTGCTTCTCGGTCACGGCATAAAAAAAACAAACTTCTTTGAAAAGTGTTTTTCGGGAAGGGGAAAGGGCCCAGCCAGGAGACAGAAGAGGAGCCTACGACTTTCAAGAAAGAGAAGGCTACATTTAATAGACAGCATCAGGAGTCCTATTTCAAATACGGCTTTATCTCAACGGGAGATTCACATGCACCAAGACTATTCCGCATAATAAGCAGCGACGGTGAGTCGTATTTTTCATGCACTTTTGATTTGCGGCGAATCTTATTTTGAAGGCACATTTAAACGTTAGCATAACGAGCAGAGAATATTGCGGCCAGATAGGATGTTCCTCCTGTCATCATTCGTGTTTATTATTATGTTTCAAAAGTACCACACTTTTCATGCAGGTCATATCATATTATATTGTTGTATCTATCCGAGCTTAAATATTGTCTGACATGAAACCAGTCTGTGGGGCAAAAAAAAGGTTGGGGACCTCTACCAGAGAGTAATGCTCACTCTACGTTATCACAATGGATTGAAATGGAACAAACAAGGTGTTCTTCAACTGCAGACTTTCAGCTTTAACTTGGTTATATGCTGTACTTCCAAGTCAGGTGAAAGGTGTAGTAAATAATAGTTTGTTGAGACATTTTAAGGCAGCGCTTCAATGTCTTTGGACCCCTCATGGTTGGTGGTGTAATTGCAAGTGGTCCGGGAAAACTAAACCCTCAAACTAAAGCTGAAAGTCTGCAGTGAAAGCACATCTTGTTTGTTTCAGTTCAACTGCATTGGGGTGGTGTTTCGAGCCAAAAATGACAAGAATTGTCTCCTCCTCCCAATATTCATGGACTCGATAGTGCTTGGTTGTTTAATTACACACTTGATGGTTGGGCAGACACTCGAGAGACACGGGAATTTATATATATAAGCACTTAAAGTACATTTTCCATAATATGTCTCCTTAAATCCACAGTGGGACCTCGAGAGTACAACGTACAAGAGTGGTACAATTTCAAGTGCAGATGAGACTGTGAAATCTTGTGGGACTTCAGCTAAGTGAGCATCAAAAGCATTACCCGTTTTCTTTTTTCCTTTTTTTTTAGCGTGTTTATTTTTTTCGGGTGAGATGACATCACAGAAGGTGGTGACAGAAGGGGGAAAGGTCTGACAATAAACAGAGCAGTAAATGCTCCAACTCACGTGTGCATTGGCAGGTTGTGCAGGGGGAGCCAGATTTCATAAGCTTCTTGTTGGCATTCTGACATTTCTCACAGTATCGGTTGGGAATTCTGGCCCCGCTCGGTGCCTTTGGACCTGAGAGAAACGTTAATATAAAAAAAAAGAAAAAAGAAACTTCAGCAAAAATGTCTCAATGACATGCAACGTTTGATCAATCAACACGACTTTTCCACAAATGTGATTATTGCCACATCACATCGTCAACATCTCAGTTGTATCGATTAAAAATGTGAAAAAAACAGTTTATCACCCCCAAAAAAAAATATATATATATTGAATTGTATCCATCCAACACAAGACTGAAATTGATCTAATCTTCACGAGGGTTGCAGGGGTGCTGGAGCCTCTCTCAGCTGTTCTTTTTCTTTCGTTTTTTTTTTTTTTTCATTTTTTAAAATCCCAGTTTGGCTTTTATTTTGTTGACAAAAATGTTTTTATGTTTTTGTTTCAGTTAATTCATTGAACCTCAGTACTGAGTAGCAGACACGCTGACCACTCATCTAATTACTTTTTTAGAGTTGAGTTGAGTTAGCTGTGGAAAGTTGTACTGACATTTAATATGTCGAAAATAAAACATGAAATGCTATCTACAGATATTCTAATTGTTGGAGTTGCATCTAGGAGCTGGTAGGTCATTAGCAGACAGTCAATAATATTGGGTCATATTGCTCCCCTGTGGAACGCCAGAAGACACGTCAATGAAGCGGCACCAGAATAAAGATGAACACATCAAACCTTTTTCGGAAAAAGACTCACTGCACACTTTCAGCACCGAAAGGCAAAGCGAGTTAGTGACAGCAGTTCTTACGTTTGTGTCTGTCAGTGGGCTGTACATAAGGAGACCTTGATGAGACGGAGCTCCTCTCCTCGGCTCTGTCCTCCTCGGCAAGATGGGAATTGTTATAGTGGTAGCTTAGTCCTGTACGGCTCCTATAGCGCTTCGCATAGACTGTCAAGCACACATGCACACACAGCAATGAGTCTTGTCAACTCTTCAATCTAAACACATTAAAATGCAAAGACACAGCAATTGATAAACTAAGTCGGTTTACCTGAGGTTGATGATTTGGAATTATTCCTTTGTTTGTATCTGTCTGGAAAAGGAAAGATGATAAAATCAGCTTTAGCAAATGTTGTCCATGTACTGTAGTCACAAGTATAACGTGAATAAGCCCCGAGCTCCACTATCCACTTGCATGCAAAGGATAGTTGAGCCTCCGACAACAATAGCATTTCAGCCTGTGAAAATCACATTAGATATCATTCAACAATGAGGACTCCTACATACCCTACTATAACCTTTATTGGACAATTTTTTGAAAGGTTGCTAATCGCAACCCCCACCCCCCATCATGCGTGAGGTCTCTCACACTATAAAAATTGGTTTAGATGTTAAAACCCAGCATGAGGATTCAGTTACTCACATGCAAGGTCAAAATTACAGGATGTAATGCTGCTTCAATGTCCACTTACTGTCACAGACATATGGCTTGTCATCATCCATTTCAGCCTTCCTCCGGCCTGAACCCCGACCCTAGAGACAAACACGAGACCACCCACTTAATCTTGAACATACGAGCAGTAGACTGCACACATTGAAAACGTCACCTTGTAATTGAGTCACTTACCCTTCCTTTGCCTCGGTGTCTCCTCTTGGGCGTGTCCACCTCGTAGTCGTCGTCATCATTGAAAGCATCTTCTGCCGCGTCTGCCTCGAGGACTCTCTGACATGAGAATAATACACATGAGGATGCGGTCTGAACAGGCAAGTTGGTTAAGGTCTGCTCAAGCTTCGATAAGAATTTAAAGATAGAATTTTGAGCTTGGACTGTACCAAGTTGTGAAAATCGCAGAACATCACATCACATCAGGGATTTGTGGAGGAAAACGAAGAGATGGGTTGTGGCACTTTGATGGTCATATTTTGAATAATAGTGCTGAGTCGATACCGTATGGGTGATGTGAACCACTGCTGGTCGCTCACTGATTGAGCACATTTCACATTCACAGCAGATTAGTCTCAATGAAGGCACCTGGATCTCCAGCAAACTCTCTTCATCGTTCCTGGAGTTCCTCTTGTCTAGACCTTCACCTCTTAGCAGAGCTTCGAGAGTTGTGCTCTGGGTGGGCAATGTGTCCTTGGACATGAGGCCGTTGTCTGCCAAATAAAAGCAAAGAAACAAACATAAAACAAATAAAAGGCAACATATGAAGAACAATCCAAACTGCAACTGATTTTGTACACAAAGCTTAAACTGTGTGCGGGAGTGTGTGCCACCAAATGGTGTTTTCACCCCACAGAAGGCTGAAATCATTGAACTCTGCAAGTGATCTTTCAATCAGCATGTGTCCGTTTATTGTCTCTTTCAGCCACTCTCCACTTAAAAAAGCAAGTCGCAATTTGCTTGAGCACCTCTTTGCTATTGTGTACGTTTCCTTAACAACAAATATGTCACAGCCACTATTTTCATGCGCAGCTTATGGAATTTCTTCAGAGAAGGAAAGGCGATGTTGCGCTCTCTCGATATTGTGCTGACTCGGGGACCCCTGAGATGCATCACTTGGACCTGAGCACGTCATGCAGATCTTGCCTCCCAAGAAAAACCTTATCGGAGGAGGCAGGTGGAGAATGAGTTAAAAGCTCTGAGGCGCACATTGTGCATCTTATTTGAAAAGTCTCTCCACCAGTGATGGCGATGCAGATGCTTTATGGAGGTCGGACAAGAGGACGCATTTCAGCTACATTGCTCCAACCATCCCCCCTGCAACCCAACATGCCTCCTGCACCACAAGCAACAGAAGGCTGCATAGGTGAGAAACAGACATAAAACTCCACTGCAGCCCCACACCATTGTGTCTGACTTTCAACTCTCCGCGACGAGACGGGCCCACCTTCCCTCCCTCGCTACTCACCCATGGGATATGGTGGGCTAAAAATAGAGCTGGCAGCCGCCTGCAGCACGGAACTGATTGTGCATGCAGCACAAGCCACAGTACCACACCATCAGCAGGACAGTAAGCTCGCTAGCCAGAGCACAACTTTGGCGGCTCCCTTGTGCTGATCCACCTCTGGCCAGATGCACAACGTGCTTAGCATCCTAAACGACGTGTAAGTCGATGTGTGTGTGTGTGTGTGTGTGTGTGTGTGTGTGTGTCGCCTCTGCTGGGCTCTCCCTGACACAGCACAGTTGTTGGTAGAAGGCGGGGAGGTGGGGAGGGGTGGCTGTCTCAGTGGAAAACAAAAGGCAACAATGAGATGTGGTTGGGAAACAAAGGCCTTGTTGAGTTGCTCTCTCTCCAGTTTGTGTTTGACTTCCAAAACATAGAATGGACAAATCTCAGCTCAACCTAAGAACAAGCTCATTGTTTTGTGCTGGCTCCAGAGAAAGATTCAATAAATCCATACAGGTTGTTGTAGATGTACAGTTAAGGCCAACCTTTTGTGGATTCAGAGTTAGTACGCACCTGGCACAATAAGTGTCTGTGATTGACACCAAAGAAAGTTTAGCTTTTCTCGGAGGCTTTGCAGAGAGGTCGGAGAGCATCGGAGGAATCTTTCATTGTAAGGGAATGGTATTTTTCCAGACTGTAAGCTAATCGGAAGCATAAGTCGCACCAGTTAAAAAATACATTTGAAAGAAAAAAAATACTTAAGTCGCCTTTCTAAACAGGTGCTTGATGAGCATTCTCAACTATTTCAGTCTTTTTGCCACCCGTCACAGCTTTTTGGGAACACGTTGCAGCCAAGAAAATGATCCTCTGTGAAAAACAATGTTTATCAGTTTAAACATTAAATATATTGTCCTCGTAGTGTATTCAATTAAATGTAGATTGAACATGATGTGCAAATCATTGTTTCATCTTTTAATTGAATCATTTTTTTTAACACAATGTCCCAACTTCATTGGAATTGGGTTTGCAATTAAATATTTGTTCGTGGAAACACCCCAGCAGGTTTGCCTCAGACCGCACAAACAAGTTAAATGAGTGAAGAAACTGCTTGTAAGACACACAAGGAGATAAAAGTAGTTACAAGCGCTAACAAACATCCATCCATTATCTGAATAGTTTATCCTCATGAGGGTTTTAGGCGTGCTGGAGCCTATCCCAGGTGTCTTGGGGGTACACCCTGAACTGGTTGCCAGCCAATCGCAGGGCACACATCGACCAACAATAACGATCCACGATCGGAATCACACCTACATACAATAAACTGACCAAAATAGTGAGAGAATATCGAGGCGCAGGCTCAATGTAATGTCTCAAGAGACAGCCAGGAGAAGGCCTAACTTTATTCCAGAACATTTATTATTGAATACACGCTGCAGTGGACCAGCGTTCAGCAGCGGGAAATCTAATTAAATGTTCTCTTCACAAAACAAGTTCAACAGCCGGGTAAACATGGCCACGGCTCATTGGGTGGAAAAATGACTGGCAGCCTCTTTTGCTCTCCACCCTAATGCAGAGCTACACTGTACTTTTAATGAGATTATTCCACATAAACACTGAAAAGAGCCAACAAGAGAGAAAGATGGTGAATCTCGACGGGCGATAAACTTACCAAGCTTGAGACCAAAGATGCCCAGGCTGGGGTCGGTGGCGGTGTGCAGCCGTCGCTTCTTTCGCCAGCAACGAGCCGGATACGTGTACATCTGCCCGGCCGCCACCCCTGCTTAACCAGTGAACACAAATAAGACTGTTTGAATACTTGCACAATAGAGAGTAGAGTACCTGCTAATCAACTTGTTTTGGGGCAGATCTTTTTCAACCATAAAAGATACATAAAGTCCTCCTAAATCATCATATACATATACATACACCAAGCGCACACATACATATACACACACACACATATACACAATTTTATATATATATGTGTGTGTGTATATATACATATATATGTGTGTGTATATATGTGTGTGTGTGTGTGTATATATATATATATTAAAAATGATCATGTTTACATTATAAGGCATAATTATTATTCCCAATCAGTCCATTTCTTAGTCGTTCGCTGTATTTTAGTTTATGCAAGATGTAGACCAGGGGTGGCCAAACTTTTTGGACCGAAGATCTACTTTTCGTTCAACCAACCTCCCGGGATCGCCCCTTCCCGCGCACACGCACACGCACACGCACACACACACACACACACACACACACACACACACACACACACACACACACGCGCGCACCCACTGCACCACAGTGGCGCAGCATAAGATTGATCGGTGAAAGCTTTTGCCCATCAAATCAAACTTGTTTGAGGTATTCCAGCTTGTTACAGATGACAAATGACGATAACACGATGCATTGCTATGCATTTTCTTTGCGATATATATTGTCATATCACCCAGCTCGAAAGACTATGCATGTTATGAATAATGATGACCTCATAAAGAATTGTAGTTTCAGTAATTGTTAAATTGTAGTCTGTGTGCCTGTGTGTGTGTCCACCTGGGCTGCGGTGATGGCGTTCCATCCATATGTAGCAGTTGTTCTGGGCCACACCAGTTTGTGAGTCCAGGAATGGCAGGCGCACGCTGCGTTCGGCGCACAGGCGGGCATTGTAGCTGCGGCACTGCTCAATGGCGTCCTTGTAGAACTGGTCACCCAATCTGAAAAGTGGTTGCCCCATAAGGTTAGCCACAAGAAAGGAATTTAGCTTATTTTATATTTACTGAATTTAATTGTCATTTCACTAACTTAAAGTCACACTGGCTGATATAACATGCATTCGTTAGGCAAAAGGAGCAAAGCAAATCAATATAAATAATGTGGGGTCAACACAAAAGTTGAGCTGAGGTTTTCCGGGGGGGAAAAAAAAAGTTAATTTTGTTCATTTAAATTAAGATAAATATTTAGATTAAAAACAAAAAGCCAAAAGAATAATTGCTAATGACTAGCATAAAAAAGGACAATGATTGTTTTACTTGAACAACTGATGAAAATGTTGAGAGATTCTTTGCCAGGCTCGTTTCCCGCCTGGCCCATATTAAGTGTCTCCGGTGACGAGAGAGCATTTAAGACTCTCGGACTTAGTTCCACTTTCCTGAGCACCACTGAGACTTTGGCTGTCCCTCAGCGTTTCAGTGTTAATATTCAGAGTGGGATGGCGAAGGATATTTCACAGTCAAACCCTCAATCTCTGCCACATGCCTGCTATGGTAATTAGCCTACTTAATTAATCCCGGCCGAGTGGTGCGCACAAGGGCAGGTTCTAATTTAACTATGTCAAAAATGGATGGTAAATGCTGGGGCTCGTGAATAAGTACGACGTGTTCGATTTCTATCATCTGTTGTCTACCGGGGGAGGCCAAACCATGACTCCTGGTCGTTGTTAGTTGCAACATGGCATCTCCACATCGGCGTGGCATAATAAGATTCTTCCACATGTTTTCGATTACGACATTAGCAAGACAGACATATTGAAGGCAAACTAATGAGCTGACGGCTGCGAGTCGAGTCTGGAATCGTTAAGTGGACCTGGGGAGGCGGGAGGCTTGCTTGTCCTGCTCTCACCCGCTTTCTCCGCCTCCAGCCCTAGCTCCTGACAAGACAATGCGCAGCAGATGAACAGTCGCGTCAGGAATGCTGTCCGCACAAAGCCTTCCACACTGTGGCTCGGACAAAGCCACAGTGTGTGAGGCCATGGCTAACAAGCGGCGAGAGTCACAGGTACACTAGATTCCAAGACGACAAGAGGCAAAAAAATAAATACTATTTGATCACTTATAGTCAGACCTCCCAATCCGGACTGTGTTCCAAATGATTAGGCATATGCCTTTGTTTATTAGCTTAAATAATGTGATTTATAAATGCATGTTCTCAATCATCCATGATAACATTTAGGACGGTTAGATATTCGGTGGGTGGGTAATCCATGACTGTATGACTCCGCGAGTACTGAGAGTATTGTATTATTTTCTACAATAATCGGTGTGTCTATGCATGAGAGTTGTTCCAGGTCAAAAAATTACATATTGATAATATACGTTACAGACCTAATTGTAATGGATTAACACCTGCTGTACATAGAGGTATGAAAACTCCAACTTATCGAAAAACACCTAAACTCACGACAACACACTTTTTAAACATGTTTGAACACACCCACACGTAAAAAAAAAATGCAAGTGTATAGATAAGATTGTACACATTGTTTCTGTAATTAAGTATGTTAGGCTTTATTTATATGGCACATTTAAAACAGGCAGTTAGAAAACACTTCAGAAATACATCCATACGTAAAATTGAGACAGGGGTGAAATAGACAAATATGTAAACAAGGGCGCCAATATGACACCAAGGGAAATTAACTAGAAAAAGAATAGTACAGAAAATGGGAACAAAAGAGAGGTCTGTGGAATGGTTTGACAACATCAGTGAGTTTTCAGGTGCTGTTTCGATGCCGTCAAGCAGGAGAAAGGTTCGGCAGCTCCAACAGATTGAGCAAGATGGCTCTACGGAGTTGGGGCTAAGAATCCAAATGCACGGTCACATTTTGTGTCAGATATGTGCCTTTAAAAAAATCAGGCCCTTTGAGAACGAGTACTTGGGCAGGAGCCGTGGTAGAGAGAATCTTTCGGAGGAGTGTGCTCATTGTGTTTATGCTTTTACTGCTCTCCAAATATTCAATAAACAGCTGAAAAGGGCATTGGTAACTGTCGCTCTCCTTTCCCACATCTGAATACATGAGTGAGGAAGTATACTGTCAAATTCCCCATTAAATAATGATTAAAAAGCTTCAAAATAATAAAGAACATGCATACAGTATATACTAGCTGGGACCAAATTGGAATTGTGTGCAGAAACTCTCCCAACCTTTTAAAAAGAATATTAAAAAATAATAAATTGTTAATTTGACACAGTCGATCATGGAACTTTGAATGTGCATCCCTAAAAGTGACACTTATCTCCAAATGCACATCAAACTCCAGGCTGTGTCCTTCACTGCCATTCCTCGACATCAGCACACATCACTGATGGAACGTGACATGACATATCAGCTTACAAAAGCACAGACCGGCTGTAAATGGTCCCTCAAGTGGGCTCAGCTTTGAAGGCGCACTCAAAAGGCATGCCACATGGAAGCAGCTCTTGAGACCACTCAAGTTGAACGCCGGATACTAATCAGGCTCAGCGACTGCCTTTCACTGTAGGCGTGGGGGGCGGGGGGTCAAGTTGAGAGAACAAATATGTGGTTAAAAGTATTTGGGTTGGTGCAGGGAAAGAGTCCCCTCCAGCTGCACGGTCGGTGAATCTTCTAACCCTTTGTAAGGTGGTAGAGAGGGGCTATAAAGTTATACTGTCGCTGCTTCACTTTTACTCACTAACATATGCAAAATACTGGTTTTGGCTGGGGAGTAAGGCTTGAACAGCCAAAGATTTTGCGTAGTCAACTAACGTCATGAAAGTCGAACCGAAATGGATTAAATCACTGACATGACTTTTTCCAGCACAGTCCAGCGATCCCCCAAACTTTTTTTTGGGCAACAAATCGGTTTCATGTAAAGACAATCCCAAAGTACCACTGGTATGAATCTCAAAGTGGAAGTTGATCCCAAACTTTTCTTTACAGTATGTTCTGAGTCTGCACTCGTCTAAAAATGATTCAATATTATTTTTGTGGAATATGAGTTAAGCAGCAAATTTCACCCATCACAGAGGGTGGCCATTTTTCCACTTTCTGTCAACTGAAAATGACATCACAGTTGCTCAGTCTAAATACTATTTCTGTGACAGGCTTTTCTCAAAATAGCCTGAGGATCAAGATTTACAGTACACCTTACACTTTGTTTTGACCATGCCTCAAGACTGTTTTGAGGGGGCGTTTGTCTCATTCAAGTGAGCCACTGATCAGCTCACCCCGCATCATCAGTTGCTAGGCTGATCGTGAGCGAGGCTTTTGTTGTTATGATGAACCGGTTGCTTGGAGTTGGCTACATAATTGAACTGGAATGATGTCAGCAAAGCATCACCAATAAATGTAGCGGAACAATGCATGCAAGGGACTTTGACACACCCAAATGAGCACCGATAATCGAATCGCACAGTCGATCTCTGAATTGTAATCGCCTCACATAGCAAGTTGGCATAATTCCGACTCAAACTAGCATTTCTAATCCTGAATCTGGAACTCCTGCCAAATATGTACTGTCCATTGCATTGACAGTAATTTTGTTCAGCAAGCCATGGCAGCACAAGTGGGCTTGACTGACTTTCCCGTTTGCTGTCAAGTAGTGAGCTCCATGACACCGCCAGCCCCTCAAGGCATAGACAACACAACCTTGTAGACTAATCAAATTCTACATGATTGACAACAGTCTTATTGAGCAAAAATCAACATTTCTCACGTCCAACCGGACCTCTGACCTAAATTTCAGGATGGTACACAACAGAGCTGAGAAAAAACTTAACATGTCTACATTTTTACCTGTAATTCAAAAATGTAGTCAAATGAAAATTGATTGAGCACTTCAGGGATTTTTTTTCCCCCCCAATGAAAATTTCAAGTCTGAAGTCTGACTGTTCTGAACTTAGGGAGGTGACATTTTTGATCAAACCTGACATGGGAGAATGTTTCTAATTTTAAGCCACCCTCTTCAGATGAGAATGACACCCTCAAGGGTTTACCCTGCATTGTCTCTTGGAAAACAGCAAACACACTACTTTCCAAAATGTAAATTACTCTGCTCTGTCTCCTCACTTGAACAACAGGGCAAAGTCATAGGGCAAAGTAATAGCAATATTTTGGGCTGTAGCCACCGGAATGGAAATACCCTATTTTCACGACCATAAGACGCACATGAAAGTCTTAAATTTTCTCCAAAATGGATGGGGTCCCTAATGATGCATTGTGTATGCAACAATTTCCAAAATCTGCGAATGCTGCTGTGTGACTTGGATCATGGATCCGCTTGACTGACTGATATTGCGCCGACATGCTGCTTATCTAGAGGAAAGGCGGACGTAACTGAGGACAGCGTGCGGACATTAATGTGGGAAGGGTGAGCGTGAAATAGGACGCTAAAGGCACGCACGCCACCAGTAGGTGTAAATAGTGCCGTTACGTGCATTGTGCAAAACAACATCCCGAAAACGGCACCTACGAAGAGACAGGCTTAAGAAATAGTTTAAACTGCAAGTTATCAGTTACACAGAGGATCATGGGAATCGAGCAGCTGCAAGAGAATTCAAGATCAACTAATCCAAGGTGCTCGGTGCTTTTGTTTCATGAAACGGCGCCATTGGTCCGGACATCCAGGCAAGGATGACCATGGCGCAGGAACATCCAGCAGATTGCCAGGAAAAGTTGGCCATCTTCCACTCCTACTGCAGTAGAAATGTAATGTTCTGCGATAGATTAAGTAAAACACTTTCTTGGAGATTTTAATCCTTTATTTTGCTGCTCTGCCGGCCTCGTTTGGCTTCCATTACCATTCTCTCGACCAATCCGCACACTCCTAGCTTACACGATTGATTTTAAAAAATACATTTAAAAAAAAAAGTACATTGTGAAATACGTCAATAAGTTACAACCGAACTTAGTTTTGCTCTCGCTGCCTTTTTAAAAGCATATGCGAGTGTGTATGCATGCTATTTTATTTTTTTAAGA